CATGCTATTTCCAATTTTTCCCATGTTTGAGCCACTTTTCGATGTAATGTTTTATTATATTTGCCCTTCTGTGACGACGCATTGCTTTGGTTGCGTAGCATTTCTAGTTTTCCTTTTAGCTTATGTTCAGACATTCATCTAGGTCCCTATACTCAAGTTCACAACCCGCGATGGAATTACAGTGGATGTGCAGTTCAACAACATTGGGCCCATCCGTTCCTCCCTGTTCGTAAAAGCCTGCGTGCAGGTTGGTTTGGCAGTTACCTTCTATCTCGTGATTGTCCACTTACTTGCAGTTCAACATTGTCGTTCCAGTTGTTGTGCACTGGTTGAATTCATTTTTTGCTACCCTCAAACTAAAAAATAGTCGGCATGGATTGTTTTCCACTTACCACCTGAATATGCTTGCTCTTCATTTTCTCCAGGTTTGCCTTATTCTTCCGCTACCCTTCACCCGTGAAAGGCTACAGTGTTTTAGAGCCCGACAATTTGTATTTTACCAGATATGATAGCTTCATGTCCAGTATTGCATCCGAGTACACCCTGGCAGGAAGTGGCGCAGGTCCTCACCTCAAAGGTAATGCTGCAATGACTCTTTTGAAAGGTTTCTCTTTGAATTTATCTGCATTCTAGGATGCAAAGGTCCAAATTATTGGAATTGACAAAATCCTGTGCGATCTCTCACCTGCTGAGGTCATAATAAAGATGATAGACTATTATAGTCAAGTGGATCTGGACGTTGTATCCATAGATACTGGCGGGAGGATTTATAAACGGTGAGAATTTTTTTTCTCTTGGTCTTTTCCTTTTATTTTCCCTAATGCAGTATCAGTCCACGTTTTTTGCACTTTATTTTCTGAGTTCCTTCCTTTTTTAATTTATGACATGTTGCTGCATTTCAGTCTGCCAGAGACGACTGAGGACAGTTATATTCAACTAGTAGATCCATACTTTGACGACGACTCCTCTTCCAAACGCAGGTGCAATGTTCGAAACGGTCCTTCGCTTGTGCAGCAAGCATTCACAGCATTGAGATCCGAGCTAAAAGCTGGTAATGTGCCGAGAATTTTCCGGGTTGGCAAATCTTGAAGTTCATCTGTATGTAAGCGGTTTTAAGGTAGTGCTGGGCATGTTTGCTTATGTTGTACATAGTTAGTTTGATATTTTATCGTTTTATTTTTACCTCATAGATATTTTCATTTTTCTTCTCTTTGACTTGGCGACTAGAGCAGTTACTGCCTTGATATTCGGGTTTGCTTGCTCACTGTTATACACTTATTTTGTAGTTTCAATAAATAATTTGACTTCATCGTGTCTTTGGAAGTGAGAGGTTGTACAACATGCCTTTCTTTCCCTTTTCTATGTG